ATTAATATTGCCAATGAAGAAGCTACCGATTACAGTGAATTCAACGGTACTCCTTGAAGATCCACCGGGAAAGATACCACGAAAAAATTCACGCGAGGCAACGTGTACGAGAGAAGGAGAGGTTCATGAATGGTCCCGAGCATACACGATTTTTTAACGCGAAAATAGGCACACCGAAAGATGTCGGAGGTGTTGAATGCGATTGCGTTCTCTATCGATCCTAAAACAGAGTCTTCTTAAAGAGATGTAGCACTATCTTCGCGCGAAATACAAAGCCGTGCACACGCCGGCACGCTCTTTAAAGATGAGAAAACAAGCAAGGGTATTTTTATTCCACGAATATTTGCCTAACTCGTTACCGAGACCGAAACCACCGAGCCTCCATCTTAGAGTGGTAGGCTCTCCCCCTAAGAACATCTTCGTATCCTATCCGAACTCGTTTCCCTTCGAGGCTAGCTTCCGCTATTTTCGCAAAACTTTCTCTCGATATACAGAGAGAACTTTGCCCTTTTCCCACGAAAAAAACGAGCTGCTCGAGCGAGGAAGGGGACCACCGGTTTCTTTTTTCTTTTCCACCAGAAAGTAGCTACGTCGTGGCATAATTCTTGCCAGTTCGCGGTTCCTTTTCCTACCTGGATACTCGCGAATTCTTGCGGAGGTCGCGAGACGAAGCCAGCCGTTGGATAATACCGGAGGCAGGCAGCTTTTGCGAGAGAACCATCCATTTAAAATGTCTCCCTTAAATCTCCAACACCACCGGCAACCACCACCATCACCACCGCCGCCGCCACCACCATCTCGGCCCTCCTCCGCCTCCGCCCGTGCGCTACCGACTTTCAGTAGTCGCCTCCAACCTCCCATCACCAGAGCCAGGGGCCTCCCTCGCGCACTGCCACCGGTTTCTTCCACCCCTCGCACTTTTATATCCACCTAAATCCATCCATTTTAAATGACGGATATTTTCTCCGAGCGACTGTATGGATTTTCATACCTTCCTCCACCTCCTCCTCCCCCGGGGTGGAGAGAGGCGTGCATAGTGAACGGCGAGCCGGAGCGTTTGTACGTTAATATTTTCGCGCTGGGCGAGGAAGGGTTCCCTGTTCGGGCCTTTCATACGAAGGTAGCTTTCCTCTGGAAGGTAGAAACTTTCACACGCAGTCACTCTCTTCCCCTTCCTTCATTTTTCACACCGATTCTCGATTCTTTCCTACTTTGTCCTTTCGGAGAAAGATATTCTCGCCTCCTTAACGTCACCGAGTCAACTTAAAATAGTCGGGACGAAGTTTGGTAAATCTAGATATCCAGGAAGATCGGAGGAAGAATAGGCGAACGATAACGTCACGATATCCGAACAATAGCGAAGTGA